TACAAGATAACAGAATTTTTTTTCCACAGCATTAAAGGTGCCAATTTCCTCCAGAAATTCAAACAGCTGCAAAGTAGTGGGTCTAAAGAGGAAACCATTCAGTATAGGCAGCAGAGAAGAAAGAACACCGAAAGAAAATTCACATGAAAAAAATAAGTGGGCATAACTTTCAATTCCCGTCCGGCACAGGGGACAAGTAGAAGTAATAAAAATGTTCCTCTTAGCCAAAACATCCGCCGTTTTCAAACCATTTTTAAACAACAGCCAAGCATAGGCAGAATACCTAAGAGCTGCCCTCTTGTGCCAAACAAATTTAGCCCATGCCACCTCCTGAACATTATCAAAATACAACAGCCTAAATGTTTTGAAGGTAGGCTTATCGAATTTCTTCCACGCTAAAGTAGTAGAGGATGGGTCCTGAAGAGGAATAGAAGAGATGAGTTGCTTCAGCCACATAGGAAAACTGCTAGGAATGCACCACACATTCCCACTAGTATAAGAGCTAATATCATCAGGGCAACCGGTAGGAGGGTTAATAAAATCAGCCAACTTGTTCCCATTAAGCCATGGATCCCAAAAAAAGGAGAGAAAAGTATTTTCCGGGGAAACCTGAAGCTTAATATCAGTAATGATATTACCAGCAATGCCATGAATGAACTTCCAGAATTTCGAACTAACTGTGGGAAGGTTTTTCCAAGGGGAAACATACTTGTGTCTAAACCAATCAAACACCAAAGACTTAGTATTATACATCCTCGACAGGAAGGAGCAGCCAAACCCATGGTATAAAGATTGAATGCTAGGGATACCAATTCCCCCCAAATTGATAGGCAAACAGGTGTCACGCCAAGCCACCAGATGAAGCTTCTTACCCTGAGAGGAGCCATGAAAGAGAAATATGGAGCAAATTCTGTCAACATATTTAATGCAAGCCTTAGGTATGATAGCTCCCCTAATCCAATAAGCCAGAGTATTAGCAATAGTAAATCTCAAATACTGAACACGTCCTGCAAAAGAAAGAAATTTGACTTTCCAACCATCAAGTAGAGTAGAAATTCTACTCAGTAGTGGTTGGAAGTGAGAAAAATTAAGCTTTTTGGGGGAGATGGGAAGGCCCAAGTATTTGAAGTGGTAATCAGAAGGAGAGAAGCACAGAATATTGGAAATGGAATTAGCCAAGGGAGTATTATTGGAGAATAAAATGGAGCACTTGGCATTATTGACATGAAGGCCAGAAGCAGAGCCAAAATCCTTGAGAAAGTTAGACAAGGCCCAAGCATTAGCAGTTGAAGCAACTCCAAAAACAAAGACGTCATCCGCATATAAAAGATGCTTGAGATTAGATGTGCCATAAGGGATACCAGTAAAAGGTCCTTCCTCCAAAGAACAAGAAAGCGCATCCATAGCAATCACAAAAAGCAAAGGAGAGAGAGGGCAACCTTGCCTTAAGCCGGCCTTGGAGGTAAAAAACCCATGCAGAGACCCGTTGATGCAGATTGAAAAAGGGACGTCCTGAATACAGCATTTTACCCAAGCAATAAATTTTTCAGGGAAGCCTTTATCCCTCATTCTAGAAATAAGAAAATCCCAAGAAAGCGAGTCAAAGGCTTTCCGAATATCCAGTTTGGCACAAAAAAACTTCCTGGAAGATGTACCATTAAATTCTCTAAGCACTTCATTTGCCAAGATAATATTATCCGTAGAAATGCGCTTAGCAATAAATCCGGCCTGACTGTGATGGATAATGTGAGGTAATACACATTTAAGCCTATTAGCAATGATCTTCGCAATGAGCTTATAAAAAACATTACAAAGAGAGATCGGCCGGTAGTCAGAAATATCCGTGGCATGTTTGTTTTTAGGTATAAGGGTGATTGCAGAAGCCTTAGCGCACCTGGGTAATTGAGCACCCGAAAAAAAACTTTTAACCGCATTGGTCACATAGAAGCCAATGATCTCCCAAGCCCCCTTAAAAAATTCAAAAGTGAAGCCGTCAGGGCCGGGAGAGGAAGAGGAGGGCCCCGCAAAAATAACATCTTTAATCTCCTGGTCAGTAACAGGAGCAATCAAAGGTTCCATGAGATGCACGGGTATAGGGTCTCCTTTGGGAAAAACCATGGCAGAATTTTGCATAGGTATAATGGGATTGTACAGCTTCCTAAAGTGTTCCACAATTACAAGAGCAATATCATTGGGGGAGGTGAAATGCCCCTCTTCAGTAACAATTTCCTTAATCGTAGAAGAATTGACACGAGATTTAATGCGAGCATACAAGAAGCCCAAATCATCCTCCCCATTACTTAGCCACTTAGCCTTTGCCCGTTGAATAATCCAAGAACTCCATGCCTCTTGCATAGAGGAAATATTGGCATTAATGTCCTTCAGTATAGCATTAAGATGAGGATCTAAAGGATTGCATTGAAGTTGTTCCAAGCATAAATTTTGCTTCTGGCAGAGCTCCACCATTTTGGACTTTAAGAAATGGTCATTGTTCCAATGTTTTTGTTTGAGCTGAAACTTGAGGTTTTTGAGCTTAGCATAAAGATTAGAAATAGGACTACCATCATGATAAGTGGCAAAAGAGGAAATAAGAGTGTCCCAAAAACCATCCATCTTGAGCCAAAAGTTTTTAAATTGAAATCTGTTAGCATTGGAATAGTTGTCACCCGAAGAGAGCAGCAAAGGAGAGTGATCTGAGCAATTTGGTGGAAGCACTTTGTAGTAGGAGGAGGGAAAGCTATGAAGCCACTGATGGTTGACTAGCATTCTGTCAAGCTTAATGTGGATAGGGTCATCCACCCGACCATTGTGCCAAGTATAATTCAAACCAACCGATTTCAAATCCAAAGTGCCCGAATTGAAAATCCAATTATTAAACTCACCCAGCCTACTAGGATGAGTTTGGTTACCCCCGGACTTATCACCAGGAACCCGAAAACAATTAAAGTCTCCCATCACAATCCACGGGGAGGAGATAGCCTCAGCCAACTCCAGAAGAGAATGCCACATAGAAGCTCGCAGGGCAGGGGAGTTAGCCGCATAAACCACAGTAAGGATGAAAGGGGGGAGGGCTCCAAAATGAAGCACACCGTGGATGAATTGAGAAGTGGAGCTAGTAGGGTGGAAGGTGATGGAAGAAGAATTCCATTTTAACCAAATTCGGCCACAAGCAGAAAAACTGAAGTTATTACAGCTTTGCTCATTAGGAAAAACCTGGTGCGTATAAGAAAACCAGGGGTCAGAGAAGGAAGAAGAGGAAATTTTGGCTTCAAGGATACAAATCATATCAAGGTGATGGCTGTTAACTAAATTCTTAACCGCAAGAACCTTCTCAGGCTTGTTGAAACCTCGAATGTTCCAGCACCCGATAGATGGTAAGGTTTGTAAGGTCATTTAGACTTAGAAAGGGGTTGTGCTTTCTTAGCACCTTTGGATCTAGTTGATTTAGCATGTTGAGATTTTTGGGATTGACCTTTATCAGGAATTTGATCCTTTAGACTCATAGAGGAAGAAACATCGGCTTCAGAATGCAGGTCAGATTGATCCTCGTTCAGCAAGACAGAGAATTTATTAGGAGACGTAGAGACAGTAGTTTTTTGCCGAATGTGCTCAAAAGAAGAAATAAGAGCACAGTCAGGCGAATTGGTTTGACTGTTCTCCTCAGGAGAATTGGTAGGTAGCTCCGACGAAAGAACATCCTCAAGTGGAGAGTTTAAGTTAGGGATAGGTGTTTCCAAAGTGTCACCCAAAGCAGGAATCTGTTGGGAGGCAACAGGTGGAGGCGGCTGTTCCACCAATTGAATGGATTGTGACGTGGAGGTAGCGGGATGAGGGGTAGTGGCATCAGTAGGGGGAGGATTGACCTCAGGCTGAATAATTGGGACGGAGACAGGAGACGGTAGAAGAGCAGGAGAGGGGGAATTGACAATGACAACAGAGGAGGGGAGAAGAGCGGGGCCCGGAGGCTTGGGCGGGCGAGAAGGGTGTCTAGTGCGACTAGAGCTTCTTCCCCTGTTTGGTGGTCGGGCGGAAGGAACAGTCTGAGGCTTCTTGTGGCATAAATTTGACGGATGGACGAGAGAACCGCACCCGGAACACGGAACCGGTTTCCAGTCGTAGATTACTTGCAAGGCCATGTCATCCCCATCCAAAGAGATAGGAATTTCATCAGGAAAAGTAGAATTATTAGTGACAGAAACACATACGCGCGCGTAAGTCAAGCGGGTCTTACGCGCCGTAAGAGAGTCCACCGCAAGCGGATACCCGACAAAACTGGCAATTTTAGAGATGCCCATGGGGTTCCACACAGCTAAGGGAAGATCCACAATCTTGATCCAAATGGGTAAAGAATTACATTCATCCCTTTTAGGTTTAAACTTCGGCGTCCATTTCTGGAGGATAAACGGCCTCCCGAAAAGGAACCACGGCCCTCCAGACCAAACATTCTCAAAATCTTCCGGTGAAGAAAATTTGAACAAGAAAAAACCATCATTAAGCGAGAGAAGTTCAACCGAACCTTTCAAGTTCCAAACCTTCTTGATTGCGTTCTGCAAACTCAGGTAAGTCGGTCGCGGACCGACAGAGTATCCAACCAGCGAGCCCCCCCCAGTCCGGCACCCCAAGGTCCAGCTCGGCAGCAGAGAAAGGCACCCTCGTCGTGGGATTGACGAACGTAACCGAGAAACTATTAGCCACTGGATCATGATGAGTAAGATTGCCGATAAAGTTGAGATGGGAGGGGCTAGAAACAGAGGGGTTCCCCGACCCAGGAAGCGGAGGAAAATCGGAGGGGGAAAAAGAGGCAGCAGCCATGAAAAGGGCACCCCCTCATGAAAGAGGGCGAACGGCGGGAGAAAAAACGCCGGGGTTAGGGCGGCGCCAAAACCCTAGCAGAGCTCACGTCTCCCACCAACTCAAAGCTGTTCCCAACCGCCGGGTGATGATGGGTAGTCAATTATTCGATCAAAGTACAGTTGTTTGGTTCAAGGAAATTTGGAGAGGTGGATTATCTCCTGACCAGAAAGCAAAGAACATTCTTTTTTCTCTAGCAAAAACACCAGAAGAACAAGAGGAAGCAAATGAGCTTGTGATCAATGAGGGCAGTAATCTCTGTGAGATAATGAGCAGCAAATCCAACAAAGTTGATGACGGTAATGGTGCAGAGAGAATTGGAGATTTCTTCATTTGATGAAAATGAACACAAGGTTCATCACTTGGATTGGGGAAGCCTCTTCATGTGGTAATTTTAAAATCTGCATTCAAAGTCTTCGATACAGGAATCTGTTGCTATCCTTACCTCCTTTCAATAACACGTCTCGACGGAGTCGAGCCCTTTTTAACGCAAGGGGACCTCCCTCTACTCCACCGCCTTTCCACCTCTCCCCAACTCCTCTTCTCCGGCGGGTACCTCCTGCCCTTTGCCTTGGGACCGTGTTTTTTCTGATTCATCGAACGTCTGTGAGTTCAACATCTCCTCCCTTCCTACACCGGAGGAAATCATCGATTTTCCCTCTGATGACATTGCGGGAGCTGTTGATGAGTGGAATCTCGCTCTGGTAGGCTATTCCCTTGGTAAAAGACCGTTTTATGAGGCTCTTCTCAATGCTGTAAAAAAACTGTGGAATCTCAAAGGTAACATCAAACTGGTTTCTCTTAGTGAAGGTTTTTTCCTGTTCAAATTCTCTTGTGCCGAAGATTATGAGATGGTTTGGACAAAGGGTTCGTGGTTCATTTTCGGTAAACCATTCATTTTCAAAAAATGGACTTCTCATTTTTCTCCTGAAACAGACGAGTACTCTACAGTCCCAATTTGGTTCAAGATACATGATTTACTGTTGTGTTGTTGGACACCGATCGGAATTTCAAAAATTGCAACAAAAATCGGGAATCCACTAGCTGTCGACAGCCTCACTGCGTCTAAATCTAGACTTACATATGCACGAGTTTGTGTTCAAGTTGATTCCTCTGCTACATACCCGGCCACTGTTCCTATCACGGTTGAAGGTAAACTCTTCAACCTGAAAATTCAATACGAATGGCGTCCTTCTCTCTGCAATTTCTGCAAATCCTTCAACCACCAATCAGCTTCCTGCCCATCCAACCCAAACCCCAAGCCTCTTCTTCCACCTACTACCAATCGTGGTAGGAGCACAAGCCGAAGACCCAGACCACCTTCTAAAAATCCTACGGGCATTCTTCCGAACCCGAATATCTTGACGGTACCTCCTCCCGCCTCAACACACGATTTAGCTCCTCCTTCTCTTACTGACGTTGCAATTATTCCTTCCTTTATCCTTGCTGCGTCTTCTTCCCTAAACCCACCACCTACTGTTTCTACTACACCTGTTGTTCCTATTACTACTGCTGTTAATCCTCTTCCCTCAGACTTTCACTCTTCACAGCCTGTAGCTACGGCTATTCCTAACCTTAACGATCCCACCCTGCCTACTTCATCCTCATCTGAATCCCTTCTTCCTTCCCACATTCCTCCTCCACCAAATACTATCTCTCCGAATAAATTCTCTATCTTGCAATCCCTCTCAGATTCTGAAATTGCTTCCAACTTTGAACCTGCTACAAACACCTTCCCAGTTTTTGAACCCGTTGTCCTCTCACCCCAATCAAAAGCTGAAACTTCCTCACCAATCTCCAATTCTAAGCCCTCAACCTCCCAACAAAATACTGCTCCTCAGTCTCCTAGAAATACAAGAGGGAAAGGTGCCAAGAAAGGCCCCAAGCCTAAAAAGAATCATTCATGACTCATCCAAATATTGTAGTTTGGAACATCAGGGGTTTCAACAACCCTGACAAAGTTTTGTGTTGCAAAAAATTAGCTCAAGAACACGACATTGATATTTTCTGTCTCTTAGAAAATCGTATTTTACTTCAGAATCTAGATGATCCTTGGTTCTGTTCATCGCACAAGATTTTTGACAACGAACTGTGTTGTCATAACTTTCATACCGCTGCACCTGGTCGTATTGGGATCAAATGGAACGCTAGTAAGGTCAACTTCTCACCTACGTTTGTCTCTAAGCAAGTTATAGCTGGCATGGTTTACAATGGTAATCTTCCTCCTTTTCTATTATCTGTTGTCTATGCTTCCAATTTTTTTGAGGAATGAAATATTCTATGGGATGAGCTTAGACAAATCTCAGATAGTATTGGTTTGCCTTGGGCTGTTCTTGGAGACTTCAACTGTTGCAGGTTCCCCTCCGAAAAATATGGTGGGAATGCTTTAAACCATTCCAAGCTGGCTCCTCTCAACTCATTTATTTTTGATGCACATCTTGAGGATCTTCCATCTTCTGGTAATTTCTTCACATGGTTTAATCAAAGGGAGGACAACCCTATCCACCTGAAGCTAGATCGTGTGCTCATTAATGATTCTTGGATTTCTGCTTATCCAAACTCCTTTTACAAAGTTTGTAACAGTCTTGTTTCGGACCACACTCCTCTGATTCTCAAATCCAAATTGGTAAGGGCCTCTTCTAAAAGGTTTATGTTTAAGAACTTTTGGTGTAAGATCCCAGAATTTTGGGATATTCTTATTAACATTTTTGCCTCTCCCTCCCAAGGCAATCCTATTAGTTCTCTCTACCATATGCTAAACCTTTTGAAGAAAGAGATCAAGTCCAAGAAATGGGTGAATTCTAATCATTTAGAGACAAAGTGTGCTAAACTTTCCTCTTTGCAAAATCAAATTCAACTTAAAGTTGACTCTGACCCTCTTAATGTCAACTTCTGTACTCAGCTTAAGAAGGTTAATTGTGATTATTCCTACTACAACTCTATGAGAGCTAATTGGATTATTCAGAGATCCAAAGTTAATTGGTTAAAGAATGGAGAGGAAGATTTAAAATTCTTATACTCCAAGATTCACCGAAGGAAATCTCAAAATTTGAGCATCTTACATTCCTCTATTTGCAATAATGATTAGGCTCAAGCTGATAATATTCTTTATTGTTGATCACTTCAAGGTTCTCTACAACTCTCCAAAGCCTCCACTAGTTGATTTGAGTATCATTCCTAGTGGCAATCTCTTATCTGTTGAAGCTATATATTCCCTTATCATTCCTGTAACTAATGAGGAAATCCATGAGGCTATTAAGTCTGGCTGTAATTCTTCAGCTCCTGGCCCAGATGGCTTTAATTTTGGTTTTTACAAAACAACTTGGTCAATTACTGGACCTATGGTTTGCAGAGCTGTTAAGTCTTTCTTCACTAAGAATTATCTCCCTAAAAGGGCCAAAGCTACTATTTTAGCTCTTATCCCCAAGAAAACTCACGCAGACACCATTCAAGACTTTAGACCCATTTCTCTTTGCAATGTCTTTCACAAGATTATTGCCAAGATTATTGCTTCTAGAATGAAACCTTTTATGCAAGATATCATTCACCATAGTCAGGCTGCTTTTATCTCTAATAGACTTTCCACTGATAACTCTATTCTTGCGGCTGATATTATTGGTTACTTTAACAAGAGGCACCGGAACCAATACTTCTGTGCTAAACTGGATATTAGAAAGGCTTTTGACATTGTCTCCAGAGATTTTCTTTTTGCTAGACCGGCACAAAAGGGCTTCCCTCAGATTTTCATTAACTGGATTAAAGCATGCATCAATGATACTCACTTCTCTATTTGTATTGATGGGGGTTTGCATGGTTTTTTTAGTTCCTCTTCTGGGCTTAGGCAAGGATGCCCGCTTAGCCCCTACCTTTTCTGCATTATTATGGATGCCCTTTCTTGTATTATTGATGACTCCTCTCATCAAGACTGTTTTGAAGGCTTTAAGTTGGATAATTTTCAACTTACTCACCTTACCTATGCTGATGATCTTTTGGTTTTTGGTAAGGCTAATATTCAAAATTGTGACAACCTCATAACGAATTTGGATCTCTCCTCCAACCTTGCCGGCCTTCACCTTAACTTGCACAAGAGTTCCCTTCTCATCTCCCCTCTAACCAACATCTCCCCTTCTATTTCTCAAGCTCTCCACATTCATAATTGCTCCACCAAAATCTCTTACTTGGGTATACCTATTTCCTTAGGTAGATCCAAGATCTCTGATTTCTCCCCTTTGATTGAAAAAGTTACTAACTTGCTTTCCAGTTGGAAAGCAAAGCTACTCTCTTTTGCAGGTAGATTACAATTTATAAAGTATACTATTTCTAATCTGGTGGCCTATTGGATCCGTGGTTCTACAATCCCAAAAACTGTTTTGAAAGCTATTGCCAAAGTTAGTTCCAAGTTTTTATATCACGGCGACACTTGCTCTAAGAAAATGCACTTAATTTCTTGGAGTTCTACTACTAAACCTCTTTCTAAGGGAGGTCTGGGTATTGCAGCACTTAATGTTCTTAAAATTGCTTTTAACTGCCGCACCATTCTTAGAATGTACAACATTAAGAACCCTCTATCTAGTTGGCTGAGAACTAGATACATTTCACCTTGGAAACCTGGCAACTCCTCTAGTTCGGCTTTCTGGAAAAATGTCTGCTCTACTGCCATCATGTTTAAGATGAATTTCTGTTTTCATATTGCTCCTAATAGTCCTATCAATTGCTATTGGGATCATTGGGTTCTTAGTGATAGTTTTTCCTCTTTGTTTCCTGGACATAATTTTCCTTGGTCGTCTGGCTCTGGCTGTAACCTTGGAACTTGGATTTCTGATGGCTCGTGGTCTCTTCCTCCTTCTCTGAGTCCTAGTATTAAAGATATTATTCTTGATATTCCCATTGCTCTTAACTGCCCTTATCATATTACATGGGATAACAATGAGAATGCAACTTTTAAAGATTTTTACAATGAGAAAATTTTCTGATTCGGATGTGGACTGGTATCAATTAGTTTGACACAAGAAACATTCCATTAGATACTCTTCTTGCACCTGGATTGCTATAAATGGTGGTCTTAAAACTGTAGAAGCTTTGAGGTACAGAAATATTTTAATTGAGGACACTTCTTGCCCTCTTTGCCTTGGTTTTTTGGAAAATCGCTCTCACTTAATGTTTGAATGTGACTATTCATTTCAACTCATAACTATGCTCATTCCACAATTTAAGAATTTTTATTTGAGACCAAATATTGCCCAAGCTCTTCACTTTATTGATGGGCTGAACATCAACCGTGAAACTAAGGATGCTACCCTTCTTATTTTTCATGCTGATATTTACTTTATCTGGATTGAGCGTAATACCAGAAAGTTTAAAGGTAATGTTGTTTGTGTCACTACTCTTTATAATAGAATCTCTAGAGCTATTTGCCTGAAGTTGAACAAATGGAAAAATGGTCATCTCTTAATTCAAAAGTTGCAACTTTGCTACTGATAATTACTCCTTTG